GCTCGAGCTGCCCTGGTCCGGGTGGTGGCCGCGGAGAGCGCGTCCTGAGCAGAGGCGGCTTCGCCCGGAGAGGAACGCGTCGTGATCTAGTTCTTGGACGCTCCACTGCAGAACTTTTCTTTTCTAAATACAAGGCAGAAACTCGGTGGTTTCTAGCAAAGCGAGACAGACCACCCGCCCCCTCGCGGGCCTGGCCCTCAGCCCGGAGGCGGATGCGGATCGTGCAGGAGAGGACCTCCCAAGGGGACCTTGGATAGCAGTCAGCCAGCGCGGGGACCCAGGGAGCCATCAACTTTGTTCCAAGAGTTTCTCCAGCGGAGAAATGGAAAAACTGCTTTCAACATTTGTACTGACAATCATTTAAAAATTTTAAATTCTGAATATGACACCAAAAACACAGGTGACACAAGAGAAAAGTGGGTAAGTTACACTTCAGAGTTAAGACCTCTCCAACAAAGACTGCAGTGAACAGAGAAAGCCTTTGGCAGGGTGGGAGCCCATGCTTGGAAACCGCGTCGCTGGTAAAGGATTGACACCCACAGGATGTAAAGAACCCCTCCATCCAACAACAACGTTGGAAAACAAGCAATTCAAAAATGGCCAGAGTCTTGAGAAGTGTCTTCCAGCAGATATACAAGTGGCCAGTCATCACAGAAAGCAATTCAAAAACAGTGAGATGCAACTTCAGTTCCAGCAGCTGGCTTGTTTGTTCTCCTTATGTAGTGCAGGCTGGCCTTGAACTCACTGTGTAGCCCAGGCTGGCCTCGAAGTCCCTGCGATCCGCCTGCCTCAGCCTCCTGAGTGCTAGGGTCACAAGCATGCGCCACCAGGCCCAACCCACATGGTGTTGCATGCCTATAATCCCACCATTGGGGAGGCTGAGGCAGCCAGATCGCCGTGTCTTTGGAGGCCATCCTGGACTACACAAAGACCCTGTCTGTTAAATAATGACTGAAAGAAAAGGTAAGGAAGAGAACAGTGTGACTGGAAGGGGCTGAGGCACCCCCGCAGATCCTTTGAGCTCAGGAGGCTGGGCTGAGGCCTCAGGCACCCGAGGTCCCACAGCATTTACAGGCCCCGCAGGCCTTGCTCCTCCTCTACCCTGCAGCCCACGTGGATGAGGGCAGAGCTCGGCTCCTTCCCTCCTTGGCTCCTTCGCTCCTTGGCTCCTTCGAGGGGAGGCGCGGGACCAGTGGGCCACACACTGCAGCCTCCGCCTGCTTCCGGGAGTGTAGTCCAGGCTCAGAGGAGCAGGGCGCAGCCGGAGGCACCAGGAGCGCTGGGCCGACCGTGGAAGAACAGGAGCTGGAGGACAGTCTTGGCTTGTGTGCAGCTAGCTGAGTCACATACAAGCAGCGATCAAAAATACAGTGTGTTCACATTTTTAAAATGTTCTGCTAGGCGTGATGGCAAACGCCTATGGTCCCAGTACTCAGGAGGTTGAGGCAAGAGGATTGCTGAAAGTTTGAGACCCAGCCTGAACTACAAAACAAGACCCGGTCTCACACACACACACACACACACACACACACACACACAGACACACACACACATTTTTACAGTAAAAGACACACTGCCATGAACCCCCTCAAAATACTCTCCCAGCTTTGAACATACTCCATGTTCCTTGCCACTCCCCGGAGCAGTTCTGGAAGTCCTGTTTTGTGTCTTTACAGGGCATTATCAAAAGTACAGTGATTGCCGCTGCCCAGCACCAGCAGGCAGAAAGGCAGGCTCACAGCAATATCACAGTGTGTCCTCATCCACCTTATCCACCAGATCCGCACCGAGTGACTTCTGGCTGTCCCCAGAGTCACAATGACCATGAAAGAGAAATGCTTTGAGTCCATTCAGGACATCGAGGCAGCCAGGACCGCAAAACTAAAGACACGCGGGAAAGAGGACTCCAGAGCTGCTGCAGAAAGTGGCCAGGAAGATGGGGTGGGTGTGTCCGAACCACGGGCAGATTTTGAGGAGGGCGGTTAATGGCAGTGGGCCTTTTACTACAATACAGTTTTTACAGAATGGAAACATTCACTGTATTTTGTGGCCCTATCTTGTAATGCCTTGATCTGAATTTCAGCCAGGCCATTGACTGCTTTGTGCCTAGCGTTCCACGTGTGAAGCCACTCTCCTTTCTCTGTTGTGTCCGTACATTTTTCCTTGTTTGCTTGAAAAATTTAGAAATGGATGTCCTGGCCAGGTGTGGTGGCTCACGCCTGTAATCCCAGCACTCCAGAGGCTGAGGCAGGAGGATCGCTGGGAGTTCGAGACCAGCCTGGGCTACATAGTGAGTTCCAGGTCAGTCTCAACTACGTAGTGAGACCCTGTCTCAAAAAAAAGAGAAAATAAATAAATAAATAAAAAGGATGCCCTGATTCGACAAGCCTGACTTACGTGATTGCTGCTATATCCCAGACACCACTCCACACCACGGACAGAGTTCGGCCAGGCAGTGCCCCTTTGGCAAAGTCTGCAGGCCAGGGCCTTGTAGAAAGGACCTAAGGACCAGTGGGAAAGGAGGCGGTCGGGGTCCTGAGAGGGGCACAGATAGAGTGCAGAGAAGGAAAAGTAGACGATGACTAGGACGAAGACACCCAGGAAGCTTCCTTGGGCCCGGCCGTGCTGGACAGTCAGGATTCAGATGGACATGAGGGATGCTTGCTCTCCCCCTAGGCGAGCTGGTTGAGAAACAGAGTCCGGAATACTTTTGACCAGGGATGTTTTAGTTATTTATGTTTTTTGAGACAAGGTCTCACTATGTAGTTCAAGCCGGCTTTAAACTCACTAGGTAGCCCAGGCTGGCCTTGAATTTGCAGCGATCTTCCTGCCTCAGCCTTCTCAGCAGTGAGATTACAAGTGTGGGCCACCACGCCCAAGCCAGGGATGTTTCTGTAAGGTGCGGAGGCCTGTACGTCTCTTCAGGTCTCTGAAGCATAACCTTTCAGGGAGAGTCTTTGTTCTGTTTGTATTGCTCCCTAAGTGACATCTAGGCTCGCTGCATTTGGAGCATCATCACAGTAATTTAGGAGCATGCTTTTATTTGTTTTATTTCATTTTGTGATGCTGGGGATTGAACCCAGGCCTTTGCACTGAGCTTCATCCCCAGCCCCTTTCTTATTTATTTGAGACAAAGTCTCAATAAATTGCCCAGGCTGACCTTGAACGTGGGATCCCCGTCTCAGCCTCCCAGGGTGCTGGTGTTACAGGCATGTGCCCCCTCCGCCCGCCACCACACCCAACAACTAGGGCACATGTCCCTATCTTCACTTTGTCACAATAGCTCCTAGCAATTACCATTCAATGGAACTGCATAGATAGAAAAGAAAGCAAGGAGGTGACTCAGAGATTCTCTTCCGCGTTAGCCCCTAGTGGAGGAAACACCTTGCTCTGGAGAATCAAGCTTTAAGGGGCACCAGGTCCTGCTTCTCCAGGCTCCAAGATGTGATGACGCTTGCTCAAGAATGTTCAGACAGTGTTATGGACAAAGAAGCAGTTTGGGGGTCTTAAAAGCTTACAGGTTTGGGGGAGGGGGTCAGTGTTTCTATTTCTTTAGTTTTTAATCAAATTGAAGA